TCACAGCTTTCCCAACCTCCCTAGTAGCTCCGTCGTTCGTCCTCCAACTACCATTCCAAAAAATAGCCCTCCTGTCATATCCACTACCTCCACCATCACAGCTTCTCAACAACCTCTTTTTAGGTCCAACAGTGAACACCAGTCCAAACCTCATGATACCCAATACTACCCCCCAGAGTTGGCCCGCCATGTCCCGGACTCATACAACCATAGCCCTCGGAATGAGCCTCATGTTGAAAATAAAAAGTTCACAAGGAGAGAAGAGCGATATGAGATATCTAGAAAGATGAAAGGTATAGAACAATCCTTAAAGAACATGCAAGGGATGGGATATTAGACTAACATGTCCTACAATAACCTGTGTATGTTTCCTAATATTCATCCGCCCGCGGGGTTTAAAATGCTAAAGTTTGACTTCTATGATGGGCGTGGAGATCCTGTAGCCCATCTGAGGGGTTACTATAGTGAAATGAGAAGTGTTGGAGGGAAAGATGAATTGTTGATGGAGTATTTCAGTGAGAGTTTGAGTGGGGCAGCCTTGGAATGGTATACTCGTCAAAATGTCAATAAGTGGCATGCATGGGATGACTTGGCTCAAGATTTTGTTCGACACTTTCAGTACAATCTAGACATTATCCCAGACCGCTCCTTCCTATCTAAGATGGAAAAGAAACACGAGGAAAGTTTTAGGGAGTTTGGGCTCAGATGGAGGGAACAAGTTGCTCGGGTCAATCCCCCGATTGGAGAAGAAGAAATAGTTGAGCTTTTCCTACAAGCCCAGGGGCCCACCTACTTCAGTCATTTGATCCCGGCCTCGGGTAAACCTTTCAATGATGTGGTAAAAATGGGGGAGATGGTAGAAGAAGGAATCAAGTCAGGCAAAATCATGAGTTATTCTGCATTGAAAGATACTACATAAGACATTCAGAACATCTCACTAAATTTGGGGGGGGGGGGGGGGGGAAGTAAGAGAAATAGAAAAGATGTTGTTGAGCCTCGCCAACGACAAGATCCAGTGGGCGTTCCTGCTCAACGCTTTCAGCCTCAACATCGACCCCATGAATATCCTCGTACTCCAGGTAATCCTCCCCACTGCTACTTCTCTCCACAAAACCCCCAAAGTCATACCCCACTTTCCTAGTACTCTACCCACAGTTCACCGCCATATGCTCCACATCCACAAGGCCCCCAATGGCCTGCACCGCCTCCACAAATGCTTTTCCCACCTCCTCAAGCATATCAACCACCTACCCCCATGAGGTTCCAACCGAGGCCGGAGTACAAAATGAAAAGGCAGCAACAAAGAGAAAAGTCTTTTACTCCTATTGGAGAATCATATGCAGTTTGTTCCAAAGATTGAGGCAATTGGACATGTTGAAGCCGATTAAGATAAAAATGCCGAAACCCCTTCCAAAGAATTTTGATTATTCTCAAAGGTGCGCATATTGCTCTAATGCCCCGTGGCACAACATAGAAAAGTGTTATCTGAAAAGAGCAGTCCAGAAGCTTGTTGATGCAAGTGACATTGTCGTGCAAAATCCAGATGCAGTAGACACTATCCAAAGTCCATTGCCTGTTCATAATGAGACGTATATGGTGGGTGTGATTTGTGTTGAAAAGGAATATGAGAACTCTTCTGAATCCCTTGGAGGGCCACTTACCGCAAAGTTTTCAGCGCTATCAGTCTCGGTTCCAGAGGTTGATCTTAAGAACGAGTTGACAAAAGGGACCCAAAAGCTATTTGCTAAGGTCAACGTGATGGAGACTTGTGGAGGTTCCGGTAATATTGATGTGTAAGATGTCGAGCTTGGTAATTGGAAAGACACTCCTTTCTTGGCTAGCCAAGGAGGAGTTTAGGTGGTTTATTTTGTTGTCATTTCTGTGGTCCGGGATATTTCAGGGTTGTAATCCGAATATTGTCTTGTGGCTCAAACCCTTCTTCTTCTTATTTTGCCTAGTTCGTTTAGTTATAGTAACTCGTCTAGTGTTATCTAGGATTGTTCCGGGGTTGTAACCCATGTCTATTTTGCTTGTTTTGTTCAAACCCTTTTTACCGTCTGTCTAATGCAATCTCCTGTTTTCTGTTAGTTCTAGTCAGTTTTTGTTTAGGTCACTTTTCCTTTTATAGTACTTTTCATGCTGATTCTAGTGTCATGACTTGCACGTGAAATTCTCAGCCTGATCTTAAAATTTAGTCTAATCATGAAGCAATGAAACAAGTTTTGAAGATGACAGAGACATTTGAGGGAAATAGGTAAAGATTTGGACATTTTAGGATTATTTAAAGCCCTAATTGTGTGAAACTGGGGCAGGTAGTTTGGGAAGTTAATAGGACGACAAGAATTTGTTAAAAGAGAGTGTGTCCCAGACAATTTAAAGCAAACAATTGTGAGTTCAAGTGCATCTCAAGTTACAAGGCAAAGCCAAGAGAGTTTGTCCCAAGCTGACGGAGGGCATCCATTATGAAGAAGAAATCACTCAACGAGAGTTCTGTACTTGACAAGGTACTAAAGAAAATGGAAGGTATATTAGTGATATCAATTTCGAAGCTGCAAAAGAAATATTGCGCATGATCTTCATTTTTCATCCTCAAGTTGCATGTGTTATACTTGGCATTTTCAGAGATTGGGAGGCCCTCTTACCAAACACGTTATACCCTTCGGTACCCTTTTGAGCAGTGCTGATTTCTTTGACCTCCCCTCTTTTGGAATCAAGTTAGAGTCACTAAAAAAATACATGTCCCCATAAGGTTTGTTTTAGAAGTTCATCCCAAAAGAAAGTAGAGAAAAAAGAGAAGAAAAGAAAAAGAAAAAAAGTTAAGAGAGAGAGAGAGAGAAAAAAAAGGGAAAAAAAAGAAAAGAGAAGAAAAGAAAAATAGCAACAACAAAAAGTATTCGTTTGAACAACGTTCGACTTGATTCTTGTCACCACGAGATACGTAGGCAGCCTTACGGTTCGGTCGCACCAAATAAAAAATTTCATAATCCCACGAAGTTAAGAACGGGGCAGTTTTCTTAGAAATTCCATCTCAAAAAAAAAAAATTCTCTTGTTTTAGAAACTGGGGCAAAGTTTTTAAAATAGATTCCAAAAGTTCTAAATAATTTAACCCCATTGTCTTAGTTATTTTGAGCCTTTACGAATACCCTTTTCTTTCTAACCTTGTCCAAAAGCCACATTCAGTCCAGAAAAGACCTCCCAGATAATCTTTGAGAGTGCCGAGCTAGACACGCCAGGAGCATATGATGTTTGTACTATGGTCAATGCCTTTCCATCTGCAGAATCAGAGGAAATAAAAAAAAGAAAAAGATGAGAGAGTCTTATCGGTGAAAACCTTCACAGGCACCATAAGGCGCCGGTGAGTTGAGAGAAAGAATAAAATGAGAGAGGCTTGATGTTAAAAACCCTTCGGGGTACCACAAGTCGAATAAGGATTGTGAATCTAATAGAACAATTGGATCATTGGAGCTTCCAAAGGTTAAAGGTACAACAAGAATTGAAAATTAGACTTACTGGACAGATTATGCCACCTAATCCAAAATGCATGTCATGGTCATTAGAGTCGGTATCCACATATGATAAGTTTCTATTTAGTAATTTTCTTGTTAGATATCATCTCTTTCCATTGTCCCCTTGCTATGTTCCTCTTGCTTTATTTAAGTCCTCTTTTTTAGTCTATTTGGTCAGAACAAGTGAGAAATGATTTTAAAATTTGCTACAAGCTTTCCAATTGCATAAAGCGGAGTCTGGCTAGTACATCAAAGTGGCTTAAGTCAGGAAAGAGTAGTATGCGCACTGGGTTGGTGACAATTGACGTGCTTTGGGATTCATGTGAAATGCAAAGGTTCAATAAATGTCTATTCATGAGCACAATGCAACAGATAGAGGGATTTGGGGCTTGAATGGATCAGAGGTGTTTTCTATGATAAGGTTTGACAAGAAAGTGGTTAGCCAATAACAAGCAAGGTCCCCAAGTTGAAATCAAAGTTATCATGGCAAGTGTAGGAGCAATCAGCCTTAAAGTCAAGGCCACAAACCAACCACCATATTTAAACTCACAAGTTTTCTTTGTTTGAAACAGGGACGAAGACTATGTCCAAATCAAAGCTTGGAAGCTTGAATTTTTCAAGTGCCGTGCCCAAATTTTGTCAGCACAAAGGCTGTTTGAGAAGGTTTTTACTTGCTAGGCATTCCCCTAGTTGAGAAGGTTTTTACCTCCTACACCTTCCCCTAGTTGAGAAGATCATTACCACCTAGGCATTTTCCCTAGTTGAGAAGAACCGTACCTCATACGCATTCTCCCTAGTCAGAAGAGTTTTTTTAGCTTTTCTTAAGTTCAAGGGTCCCGCCTGCAGAATATGGTTAGTTTTAGTTTCCTTAAATTATTAAGCTTTAGCATTCCTTAAGTTCAGGGGTCCCGCCTAGAGAATAGGATCAGTTTTAGTTTTCTTAAGTTGTTAATCTCTAAGTTCAGGGGTCGCGCCTGGAGAATAGTGTCAGTTTTTAGTTTCCTTAAGTTGTTAGTCTTTAGTTTTTCTTAAAAGTTCAGGGGTCCCGCCTAGAGAATAGGGTCAGTTGTTAGTTTAGTCAAGCTCAGCTTATAGTTTTTCTTAAGCTCAATCTCACAAAAGACGCACATCCTAGTCGAGTCTTTAGTTTTACTCCCATCTTTTATCAATAGCATAAGTGATTTACAGTTTTGCTAACAACTCACAAATCTTCCTAGTGCAAACTGGGCCAGAAAATTTTGTTCGCTTTGTTTGTTTTGATTGCAGGCACCCACCTGGAGAACGAGAGGCAATATTTTCAGAAATTGGTTTCGGGTTCAAATTAGAGAAGTACCAAGAGCCCGCCTGAAGAACGGGATCAACTTTCAATTTCATTCAAAATCAAGCAGGAGGATCCCGCCTGAAGAATAGGGTCAACTTTCAGTTTACAAGTTCAAGTCAGAGAGGCATCAGGAGCCCGCCTAAAGAACATGGTCAACTTTCAATTTTCAATTTCAAGAAGCATCAGGAGCCCACCTGAAGAACAAGGTCAACTTTCAGTTTTTAAGTTCGAGTCAGAGGCATCAAGAGCCTGCCTGAAGAACATGGTCAACTTTCAATTCTCAAGTTCAAGAAGCATCAGGAGCCCACATGAAGAACAGGGTCAACTTTCAATTTTCAAGTTCGAGTCAGAGGCATCAGGAGCCTGCCTGAAGAACATGGTCAACTTTCAGTTTTCAAGTTCAAGTCAGAGGCATCAGGAGCCCGCCTGAAGAATAGGGTCAACATTCAGTTTTCAAGTTCAAGTCGGAGAGGCATCAGGAGCCCACCTGAAGAACAGGGTCAACTTTCAGTTTCCAAGATTCAAGTCAAAGACAGTAGGAGTCCGCTTGAAGAACAGGGTCAACTTTCAGTTTTCAAGATTCAAGTCAAACACAGCAGGATCCCGCTTGGAGAATAGGGGAAATTTCTAGTTCAAATCAGAAGTAGCACGAGCCCACTCGAAAGATAAGGTTTGCAAGCTCGAGTCTACTCAAATTTCATGTTTATTTCAAGTCGAAGCAGCAGGAACCCGCCTGAAGAATAGGGTCAACTTCCAGTTTTCTTCAAATTCAAGTCAGCAGGATGCCTGCCTAAAGAATAGGGTNCGGATTTGAGGCCAGTGGTGATATCTGAAGCTTGTACTATGCTTCAAAAAAGAAAGTTGCACCAAAAACCTACTGGTGCCGGGAAGATTAGTTTCAAGGAAGATGGAACTGGTGTAAATTTGCCTACTAATCTGCCCTATTCACCAAAAAAGGTGTCTTGGAAAAGCAAAGCAGCTATGACTTCAAACCAATTGATAGCCGAAATGGAAGCAAGATTTAACAAGCTAAAGGCTAAGAGGGCCAAAACTGCCTCTAAGTAGCAGCCACTTTATTTAGATCCTTGAATGTTTTGTAATGACTGATTCATGTAGATATGTAATTTTTTACCCTCCACGAGGTTTTACACATTTTAGCGTTTAAATATTTAGTTTAGGTTTAGTATCGCTATTTTAACTAGTTTTGACTCTTTTACTTTATTTTATCACAAAAATAAAAATTACAAAAAAAATATTTTCTTTTATTTAGCTAATTGATATTTTATCTAGTTACTTTTAGTTTATCTACCTTTCATAAAATTAAATAGAATATATATATATATATATATATATATATATATATATACAAAATTTGAGCCCTAATTCGGATAGCCCAAGACCCATAACCCATCTGACCCATCTCCCCTGTAAATCCTAGCCACTTATCCAATCTAATCCTAGTGCTACCATTAATTCCCACCCAAAATAAAACCCCAAGTTCAAAACCCTAGAGAGGCCTTCTTCTTCACCCTTTACCAACCCTAAGACCCCTAAACCCTAAGCAGCCGCTGCCGCCCTATCCCCAACCCATCTCCACCTCTACCGCCGACCACACACAGCCGCGCACCCACCTCTCCTACACCTAAAACCAGCAGCAGTCGTCCCTCACCATCGAAACCCTAAGAGACCTGGCAGCCATCACCTTCAATCTCCTAAGAAGTGAAGAACAGTCGCCGCATCACACCTCCCTTTGCAAAATCTGCTGCCTAAAACCCGCCGAAAAATTGCCAGCTACCACCACCCTTCACTAACTTTACAACCTAACACCCTCTCATCTCCTCCACCCTAAAGCAGCCCCCAAACCTAACGACCTTACTTCAGCCGCGACATAAGCACACACGCACACGCATAAACAGAAGACAGGGAAGAAGAAAATTGGATAGAGAAACTAAGGTTTGTTCGATTGTTGTCCGCCGAGGCTTCCGGGCAGATTCGTGGCTCCGGTTCGTGATTTTGATGGTTCGATCTTATTGTATAAATCAAGTTCGGGCTTCTAAAACTCTTCAAGTTCAAAAGAAAATTGCTCCATTAGAGGTCTATTTCTTCCCTTAATCTTCATTTTCTTGATACTATGTTATTCATAATGTGATGTTAGTCCGTTTGGGTTTATTTTGATTTCTCTTTCTCCTCTTTCCCTTATTTATTTGGTATTTGGATAGCTTTGGTTTATTACTGCTTAGATATTTTGGTTCGGAATGACATTTAGGTGATCACTAGTGACGATGAATTGCTTATCTTAATTAAATCTTAAGATTCTCTTTAAAGAGTAAATTGATTTGTCTTATTGGGTTGTGGGAGGTGACACTACACATGTAAACAAATTAGACTTTAAATATTTATTGCTTTTAATTTATTTTATTTATTTTATCGCTTTCTTTGCTAGGAGCATGCTTAGGCCGACCACACTCGGGTAGGCAAACCGTAGGTCGCTTCTTTTTATTTTGTCGAGGTAAGAGGTTGTTCCCTTTAGTCTATATACAGGGGAATGCCCCGTAGAGTTTGTATATATTGTTTTTATCCGGGGTATGTCCCGAAGTGAATGTAAATGGAGGCCATGGCATCATCGTGGAGTGAGCACAGTATAGACTTTTAGTATTTTCCTCTTATTTTATTTTCTTTTATTTAGGTGGGGACGACCTCAAGCCTCTTATGTGTTTATTTTTCTTTTTTCATGTTTTTACTTCAATTCGAATATTTTAAAAGCCAACTAGATCGGGTACGTAATTGTGACTTTCACGGGACTCGGGGAATGCCTAACACCTTCTCCCCGAGTCAAATGAACCCCCTTGCCTGAATCTCTGGTGCCGACTTAGTTTTTGAGTCCAAAGTGTTTTAAAAGGAAAAATCACTTCTAAAAACGGTGAGCTGACACACCTAAACCAAATGTTAGGTGGCGACTCTGAAAAATCCTTTTGAGTACAATTCTTTGTCACTTTCTAATTGAAAACCCTTTTGAGCTTCAAAATCTCTTTTATTAATTTTAATGAGTGAGGTGAAAAAAGGGGTGTGACAATCGTGATTTGTGACTTGCACGCAAAATTTGGCATCATTCCGGGATGTTTAAGTATAATTCGGACGCGTTCGAAGAAGTTTAAATTCATAGTTTTGATGATGTTTGATGTGATTTGAGGCCTCGAGCAGTTCCGTATTATGTTATGGAACTTGTTAGTAAGTTCGAACGGGGTCCCAGGGGAATCAGGTGTGTTTCGGACGAGTCGCGGATTAGTTTGGAGCTTTGTCGTATTGCTGAAGGGCCTGAGTACTAAGGCAATCGCACCTGCGGAAAAAGGGCCGCAGATGTGACACCGCAAAAGCGGCCTAGAAAGCGCAGAAGCGGATTTTGTTTGGGAGGAATGAGACCGCAGATGCGGTCGAGTTTCTGCAGAAGCGGAACCGCACCTGCGGATGAGGCGATGCAGAAGCGTAAGCGTAGAAGCGCTGAAATGGTCGCAGATGCAGTGCGAGCTTGATGCCGCAGAAACGGGATTTTCTAGGCAGACTTGGATTTAAGACGGGATTTGGCTCTTTTTCTTTCATTTTTTCACTTGGGTTGGCCGAATTTGGAGAGCTATTTTGAGGAGATTCTCATCGAGCAACATAAATTTTGGATTGATGGCTATCATTTTGAGGTGTTAGAGAGACGTTGGAGCCGTTTATGGAACTTCGGAGCGAGGTAAGTCTCATGTCTAACCCTGTGACAGGGAAATTACCCCGTAGGTATTATTCTTGTTATATGCTACATGTTGTGGGAGCTGCACACGTATGAGGTGATGAGTGTCCGTGCGTATGCTAGAATTCCTTATTAGGTTCGGGTAGACTTAGGTTCACGCCATGCTTTAATTGTACTGTTTGAGTTATCCTTGCCTGTTGAATTACTTTATTTCGCGTTACGACCTGAAACTAGGCTTGCGTAGAGTGATTGACTCGTTATTGTAGAGATTTTTAATTTTATTTTATTTTTAAAGTCATGAATCTTACTTAGATAGAGAGGTCAGTGAATTAAAATAAATCGTAGTAACGTACAGTTTAATTAAAAATAATAAGTAAAAGTATATCAATGTAAAACAATCCATAACAATTCTAGAACACCCACAAAACCCGATGTCGAGATTTGACATCTTCAAATTTGGTGGAACTCCTGTTAATATTGTGGTGTCGTCGTCCTTGATTGAATGCATTGAGGCTCGTCGATTGTTGATCTTCATTTGTTTGCCTCTAGGCACGGTGTTGTGAGATGGAACCTAAGAAGAAGTTATCAGAGATGGTTGTTGTAAACAGGTTTTAAACATAAGGTACAATTATTTTGATTCTAGTGGGAAAAGAAAGAAATGGGGGGGGGGGGGTCTTAAGTTTTTTAGCCTAAAGGATCACCCCGTGCAACATAAATAATACTTCGTAACTCCCTCCAGATGGGGTGTTACTCGTATTATTCAGCGGGCATAGACTATCATCTCCTGCTACCCGATTACTATCTTTAAGTTGTTACCTAAAGCGTACTAGTTCAATTATAACTCATACCCTATGCGTGCACTACCCGTCCCGTGCCTACGGTCCAGGAGGCGTTTGGACCATCTATTTCTGGTGGTTCTAGACCTAACTTAGGTTTCTCAAAATGAGAAAACTAGGTGACGTACAAAACAAGTTGGACTTCACATAAAAGCAGTTAAGGGCTCAAGTTAGCCTCCACACTTAGACAGCAAATGCACACAAACAAATTAGGCATTTGACACAAAATTAAGCCGAGTTAAAGCCATTACGCCCTATAGACATGATTTCTATGTGACTTTGGGATTCAAACATGCGAGCAGTTTCAGATGCGAGGTGTTATTTTAGAGGCATGCTTTCTGAATAACTTTATATTTCAGGGAGTCTAGTATTGCGTACTAATTACTAAGATTACAGATTATAAGTGTTTAGACCTATAGGCATGATATCTAGGTGTAGTAGTTGGCAGTGATAATCATGGAAGATATTCAGAATTACTTAGTTTGATCCTATAGGCATGCTTTCTAATAGTGGCAACGAAACAGTGTTTGAAAGTTCCATATTAACTCTTAAAGCGAGTGGGATTATCCTATAGGCAGGATTTCTACAATTAGCGATTGAAACTAGTTTTTATCTCCTATAGGCATAT